GCCAAAAGCATCCAGCAGCAATAGCCAGGGAAGACCTGTTCTCTTCTGCTCAGCATTCCACAAGAGATTGTGTTCTTTATCTCCACATTTCCAGTTATACTCTGATATCTTCCAGCCCAAGGCAGCTGGTGGAAGTAGTCTGAGCACTGGTGATAGCAATCTTAGCTCTGCCTGAGCAAGCTGAAGAAAAGGGTGAAAGCACTAAACATTCTTGTGTAGCAAATGCATGTATGTTTTGTGGGTTTTTTTTTTTCTTCACATGCTGTACTTCTTCAGTGTTCAACCACTGTTGGTGGTTGTTATACACTATTATACAGCTGTGTCTGTAACTTTCTTTTCTGGACTTGGGTGGAGACAGCTGTGATGTGCCATTTGATCCATCATCATTTTATTTCCTTTTATTTATGTGGGCTTTGTCATGTGCTCCTTATGCCTTTTTGTCATATGCTCCTTATCCTTAAGAATTTGGTAACTAAATAGTTGAACCCAGCAGCTGGTTATAGAATCATAGACTAACTTAGGTTGGAAGACATTCCAGAAGTGATCTACTCTAGTGTCCTGACCAAGGCAGATTTAAGCAGATTAGCATGTTCAGGGACTGTCCAGTTGCATCTTGAAAACCTCCAAAGATGGAGATTCTGCAACTTCTGTGGGAAACCTGCGCTGGTATTTTAGCACCCTTGTGGTTTACAAACACACGTACTATCCCCACACATACTCCTCCAACCTCTTAAACCTTGTCAGAATTTCCCATGTTCCAACTTGCTCTGACTGCTTCTCATTCTGTTACTGTCCACCTCCTGGAAGAGTCTGGCTCCAGCTTTTCTGTGCCCTTGCAGATAGCAAACTCGTACTTGCAGACTGCAGAAAGGTGTTTCCTCTTCACCAGGCTGAATGGACTGAATTATTTTGGCCCTTCTTGTCTGTCATGTGCTGCAGCCCCATGACCATTTTGGTGGCCCTCTCTTGGACTTGTACCAGTACATCCATGTCTGTCGTGTCCCGAGAAGCTTAGAGCTGGGCACGGTTCTCCAAATGTGCTCTCACCAAGTGCCACGGGCCTGCTGGACACTCATTGATACAGCGCAGGGCCACTTGGTCTCGGCTGTGAGAGCACACAGCTGACTCGTGGTCAACTTGCTGTCCTGCAAGAGCCCCAGGCCCTTCTCCTTGGAGCTACTTCCCAGACTATTACAGCAGCCTTTCTCCTGACACCTGTCTTGTTACCCACACTTATCATTGCGTGGACCTCGGCATCTCTGCAGATCTGAAGTCGTTGGGACACTATTGAGTGTCGGGGGTCCCTACCACGCACATCTGCTCTGCTTGCTGTCATCCTCCTGAGCATGACTGCTGCCTTTTGTGCAGCCAACATCTATCCTAGAGCCATTCTACCAGCTTCTGGCATATTGGAATGAAGGAAATCTTCCTCGATATCCTCCCTTTGTCCAGTCTGGATCTTTCATCAGTGTGTGACTCATTTGCTTGCCTGGAGACATGGTATGGCTTTCGGCACAAACTGAGAAATGGTATTAGTCATTGAAGGAGCTCACAGCTACTTTCTTCCCTGAATAGTCTCAGGGAGCTCTTCTGGGAACAGTTCCATTCATTGATAGACATCCTACCTCATTTCCCCCTCTGAACATATATATCACTTCGAGTCAGCATGGCTTTACTGGAGGCGGGCCAGCTTGTTTGGCAGAGTCCCATTTCTTGCACACTGGTATGTGCAATGAGTGCACATGCCTTCTGGCAGCGACCTTCTGGAGGCCATAGGTTCAGGCACGTGGGCAGCATTTTGGAAGGTACTGCCAAGAGCTGGATCACCTTCTATATTAGCCTCTTTCACAGTTTGTTGTCTTTCTTAGGATACTATTATTATTATTTTTTTTGTCTAGAACAGTCCATACCTTCAAGAAAGATTTGTCTTGTCCATGGTTAAATAACCCAGTGCTAAGAGTACTACCTCCCAGCCCTGAAGACCCTTTTCTTATTCTGCACCGTTATTCTATCAGGGCCCCTTTCCCTCGGAGCTGTTTCCAAACTCCATAGAACTTAGTGCATAGGTATTGCATGTATACTAGACATCCGCTTCCGGGAAGAGTCTCCTGATCTCACCTGGGGAGATGGCAGCTCGCTTCTGTTCATCTCTTTTTGCAAGATGAGAACCTTGCGGGTTTACCCCCATTTTATTTACAAACCTGCCTTTGGTTGTGGGCATGTATATGAATATATATTTGTCCTGGAGTTGATAATGAGTGGCTTGAAAGGCATTTGATTTTAGAGGATAATTTCAGGTGTGTCTGTGCTTGATTGGAGAGTGCACTAGTTTCTCAGTCCCTAGACATTGAGTGTGGATTATATACCCGGATCTTGGAGCAGAACTTCCATGTGTACCTGCAGTGTAATCTCTGGAGTTGTCTCTGGTCACCACGTATTTAAGGACAACACCCTTAACTGTGTTGGATATCAACAAACTGCATAATATGAAACCTTCCTAGTTCTACAAGAAAGCAATCTCCATTTGGAGATGTATCTTAGCTGTTTGCTGATGAGATTTAAAAGCAAAGTCTCAGTTTAAAAAAATAGCTGACATGAGGTTACAGGACTAGGTCTTCGATATTATTTTTTTCCACTGAAAAGTGAATAAATGCATGATGCCATGCTATAATAAGTATTTGAATTATATTTTACAGACAAATAATATAAAAAGACTTCTTGTGTTAAGGATTTTATAAACATAATTACAGCAAATGCATGCCACAAAACAAACAAACAAAAACGCCCAAGTAGACATTAATAGAGTAAAAATTAGGTTGTAATGATATGTTGTTAATAAAACATATATTTTATTTTTACAATTTCTGGTTCATCTGTGGCTTTATCAAGTTATCATTTGTTTGTTTTTACAGAAGCAATAATTTTAAATAATGTTTTGAAGTAGTTTATTTAAAAGGCTGATAAGAACAGAATTGCTGTAATTAAAAATTGAGAGAATTAGGTGTAACTTCTTCTGTTAAAAAAAAAATTTATTCCTCTGTTTTTCTGTACCTGCATATTGTCTTTTGAAACTGGAAACTCAATTTTGATACAGAGCTGAATGAAAGAGTGGGGTTTTGTTTTGGTTTACATTTTTAAGGGAAAAAAATAGTAGTTGTTAATATAATAATTGTGTGCTGCTACTGCTGTTCACATACGACCCTTTCAGCTTTGTAGTAGGGAACTACATGCGAGGAAGGGGAGAACTGCAAAGACAACAAACATAGCAGTGTTTTTAGATGACTTTCCGTACAGCCTCGATGCTGGAGAAATGAAGGCACAATAAATAGCAACCATTCTGTTAAGTTCTGGCCAGAACTTTTCCTTTTCTGTCATAGTCTCACAGTGCAATTACCACGTCATGTCGGCAAGCGAAGCTGTATTAATAAAACAGAAGACAAAAGACATAGGGGCCAGGAATAAAGTAGGGAAGGAAATGGAGACATTAAGGAAGGGCATAACAACAGGAACCCAAGCCATGCATCCTGGATGTGTATTGGTATTGAGTCGATTGCAGTAGGAGCTGTCGGTCCGTCTGGTCTTGTCTCTGGCTTGGTTTCAGTCCAACCAAATAGACTGCAGAATTGTTCTGAAAAGGCGTCATAGGCAAGCTTGCTCTTTCCTGGTGCATCCTGCTCTTGTCGTTTGCTGATCTGTTGGATAATCAGTGCTCAAAAAGAGGTGGCCATCTCACCACACACACTATTCAGCTATTTTTTTTTGTATGTGTTTTCTCGGTGGTCGCCAGCAACAGGACAAGGGGTAATGGGTTCAAATTAAAACACAGGATTTTTGCTCTCCATGTGAGGAAGACCTTCTTCCCTGTGAGGGTGACAGAGCCCTGGAACAGGCTGCCCAGAGAGGCTGTGGAGTCTCCTTCTCTGAAGATCTTCCAAACCCGCCTGGATGCCACCCTGTGCCACGTGCTCTAGGTGTCCCTGCTGGAGCAGGGTGGGGTTGGACTAGATGATCTCTAGAGGTCTCTTCCAACCTCAACCATTCTGGGATTCTGTGATTCAGCTATGACGATTTATTCCTCTTTCAAAAACCTGTGTCTTGTGCCCATCTCTGACTTGAGTTGACGTTCTGTATAATCCTCTGTCACTGTTCTTTATACTGAAATGGTGCAGTTTTCATACTGAGCTCTCTTGCTTCAACTTACTTTGGCATTTATAAATAATTTATATACAACTTAGAGTAGCGCGTCTTTACAATACACACTAGAAAAAAAGAGAAGTCCTCCTTTTCAAAAAGGAATGAAGAGATAATACACCTTGCAAAGATGAGTGACAACAAATGGGAGTTACTCAGTGTTGAAGAGAAATACACAGTTCAGTTCATTAGCTTTTCATCTGTTATATTTGACCACGTTATGTGTGTTAGTTTTCCACTGAGACATTCATGGTCCAAATACTATAAAAATACAGTTCCACCTGTGAACCTCCAAAGGACTATCTATACACTACACACTTGCAATAGTCAAATTGTGCACAGAAATTGTCCCTTTTTATTCCAGAGTTTGGTCACTTGGCCTGTGTGGTATCCGGTCCAAACCATTGGTGTAGCTGTCAACAGTGCCTTAACTGGAGTTGAGGGAGAGGTCTTGCCCTTTCCAAATGTGCTGTTTTTAGTCACGGTGAATCGTAAGCTCTTCCTAGTTTCTTCCTTTGTTGGACATCCGTTAGAGTATGAGTCAGGTCTTTGACTTAGTAACGTCCAGACATGTTCCGTATGGTGTTTGAGCATTCACAGTGGTACAGATTGGGAAAAAATAATGAAATTAATCAAAATGATACAGCTAGGAAAATTATAATTTTGAGTTTTCCTCTTGTCATATGATGATTCTTTTTCAGTCCAACATCATTCCATGATTTCCTGACACTTTGAGAAAGAGAGTCCTCCTGACGTTGCTGTATAGAGAGCATGAAAATTCTTTACTGTGGATTTTCACCAGGATTTTTAAGCTCGCTTTGCTGCCGTGCACTTTACAGACTTGGTTTTTCAGGTAACTTTCCATTGGAAGATTTTGCAAGTACCATCATCTGCGTTTCTCCCACATCACGTGAGCTTTCTTCGTGATGTGACCTGGCAGCACTTGAAATGGACACACTCACTTGTCGTCTCAGTATTTTCATTACAGTTCTCTTGTATCCTTTGCAGGCAAAGAAATAGATGAAAGGATCTAGGCAGCAGTTGAAATTCATCAGAAACACGGTGTAATGGAGCGACTTCTGAAAAATTTGCTTTTCACTGCAGAAGGGTTCATTCTGAAGCTTTTTAATCATGTGTTGGATAATTGTAACATGATAAGGGGTAAAGCAGATGATGAATACTATAATCACAAATATAATTGTATTGATGGCTTTTTTGTTTATCCCTGATTTTTCAGTCAGTGGATTTTCCTTGGCAGTCTGAAAAAGTTTGCAGCTAATTTGAGAGTAACAAAACAGAATAATCCCAAGGGGAATAAGGTACCCTATTAAACATGCAGCAAGAAGTATAAATGGTAAATGGGGGATTTTTTCAAAGTTCGGGTATTCCATACATGTAGTCCTTTCTTCTTCTTTCTGTGACATGGATTGTATAAGCAATGGGAAAGTTTGACTAAATACAAGAAACCAGATAAATACACAAATGCCCTTGGCGTATTTAATCCTTCTGATCTTGTATCGGAAAGGGTGGACAACAGCAAAAAACCTGTCGATGCTCAGGCATGTCATGAAGTTTACACCTGCGTAGGTGTTGATATAAAAGAAGAGAGCAGTTACTCGGCACAGCGCTTCTCCAAAGGGCCAGTGGAAGCCCAGGGCATAATAGGTTATCCTCGTAGGCAGAGCCATGCAAAACAAGAGGTCGGAGAAGACAAGGTTTGTTGAATAGAGGGTGGTAGAGTTGATCTTCTTCCTGTTTTTAAAAATGACAGTGAGGGCAATTGCATTTCCAAGCACTCCAAAAATCAAGATAAAGCTGTAGAACACAGACAGTAGTATCCTGGCAGTATCTTTGTGTTCGTACAAGTCGCAGGTGGAGCTGTTGGTCTGAGAAGTTGCGAAGGTGTCCATTCCTGAAGCCAGCGTTACCGCAGGAAATTCAGAAGACCTACCAGGAGAGAACAAAAGGGGAATATTTTGTCATGATAGACAGAATTCTGCATAACAACAGACAGCTCACATTGTAGAAAGCAGCGTTCAGAAAAGCTGAAACGAAACTTCATTATGATGAAATAATTTTTCAGGCCTCCTTCAAAAAAAAACCCCAATCTTTGGCTCTTCTCTTTTGATCCCAATCCCCTCTTTCCTGGAAAAGAAAAAAAAAATCAGGCAACAGGCAAAATAATATGCTTGGGCTGCAGTGTATTTTGAAAAGTGAAGTTCAAAAGCGGTCAAGAAGTGAGAGACTGTTTAAAGCAGTCCGAGTGGAAAGGGCAATCTGAAGAAACATAATGACAAATGATAATATGAAACTCTCAAGACCCAGACAAGCAGTTAAAATCTTGAAAACTTATTTCAGTTTATTTTAAAGTGTTTTTTTGTTTACAAGGACTCAATCTGTGGTGCTTTAACTAACTTAAACTATACTTTTTTTTCAACATACTTACTTAGCTTGTTGGTGTTAAAATAATTCAGACTTGTTTAATACGAGTTTTAACAATTAACTTTTGCAATCTAATTCACATGTTGTTTGGATATATAGCAAACTACTGGTTTAGCCACTTTTTAGTAGTGCTCTAAAATTTCTATAACGTGGCTAAAATCTTTTATACATGTAGTCAAATGATTACTTATTAGCTTTTTTTTTTTTAATCTGCATATTCAGAATTGAAGTGGAAGATCTACTGAGTGCTGTGGATGCAGTGATTTAGGGAACCGAAGTGTATTAAAAATGATCTAGCATTGTAGAAATGGAAAGGCTCCCACTCTGTCATTGATAGTGCTTCTAATGGAGAATATTTCCTAGATCTGTTGTATATCAGTTGCTTGACGTAATTGTAAATGCCAGAAACAATGGGGCTTCTCAGAGGTACCTGTTTAAGAATTTAGCTAAGAAATTACAGAAAGAATTTCCTGTTGCTGGTTAGTACCATCCGTACAAGGTGTCACTTCGTTGGAATTCTGTCTTAGTTCTTGCTCACTGAAACTGTCAGTTTGGCAGACAGTGAGTTTTTAAGAAAAGGCATTTTTTTAACTCTCTTTGCTGCTAAAACTGGCTGTGTCTTCCAGTTGTTGCTGGTAAGACAGAGTGTAAAAAGACCCCCTCAGCCTGCAGAAAACCTGTAGATTTATGAAGATGGGAACACTTTCAGTAGCGAACCAGGCCATTTCTTAGTCACATACTCTGTGTATTTGTACCTGCTGTGGCATAGTTTGCTAGAAGCATATTCTTGTGAAACAGTCTCTCAAAAAGATTGCTGGAAGCACTGTCTCTTTATGTATATGCATTACTCTGCTTATGTAATTATAAAAAAAACACGCAAGAAACTGTTCTTAGGTATCATCTGGGGTGCTCGTAGAAGTCACTTTAACAGGTCCTCTTCAAAGGCTTCAGCCTGCTTGTGTTAAAACTAATGTAGAGAGGTGACAACATCTCTTGAGAGAGGAAGGGATATTAACACTGGATTTGACACCAGACTTCTTTGCTATCTGGATGACTCGTAAAACTGTCAGCCTCTATGTCTGCACTTAAATGGATTAAAATAGCAATCAGGACAAGATTGTTTCCACTTTGATGCAGAACATGATATGGAGGCAAAAGTAACTTAAATTTAAGTCCATACTTTGATTAAAATGTCTAGGTTATTTCTGAAGATCTGCTTCCCAGTACACCTGTTCAAAAACAACTTTTAGTCTTTTGCACCTTAAAAAAATGTTTCTGGAAAAATCAGTTTTAAGGGTTGTAAGATACACATTTTATTATGTTTGTATTGACCTTTTATTAACTTGTGGAAGCATTAAAAGACCAGGTAGTTCTTCCACATTTTGGTGAGATTGCCCTATGTATTTCAGGTTAATCTTTTAGATTAATTGTTCATGAGTGATCTACCTACCAGGCACACCATATTATAACCCAGTCTGAGCAGACTTCTGTCTTAATTTAGCAGGAAGTGGGATTGTATAAACACTAAAAGTAAAAGTGCTGATAAAAGGCATCTCAGGTTCCTGCTCACAGCATAAGCTGCGAATCCCCCATTCAGGGTTGGAAGGTCAGATGTGAAGTGGAATTTCATGACCTTGAGTTGGGGGGGTTACATCAGCAAATACCAACTGCCTGGCTGCTGTGAAGATAGAAGGATGCCTGGGATATTGCGTTAGTAAACTGCCCATCGTCACAGCATCTTGGTGTTGGCGTGTTTGGTGTCTGCAGAGTGTGTTAGTCATTGCCCTGAGGATAGTTCTGGTGCACTTTCCTCCTGTTTCATCTCTGCTTTCCTTTATAGAAGCACGTAGGATGGCTCATTTCACATGAGTGTTAAAGGCTGCTTTTCACAGAAACTTGTGTGGGTTTGTGTCCCTGTCTGCTAAGTGTGGCATTTGAGGTTGTTCTTTGTCTCACCTAGGTGCTCCTAGTTACTTGTTCAGATTCCCAGCGTGACGTCTAGCTCCTACCCACCTCTCTCTTGAAGTTAAACAAAATCCTTTCTCAAACATACGTAATGAAAAATGATCTGGGATTCAATATTAATAGTTCCTTTGTGGTAAAGAGCTACACTTTATTAACTGTGTAATTTTATTTTTGATCACTGCAAAATTATAATTGGATATTTGGAGAACTGGATAATTGATGTATTCATTCTTTCTATAAATATTTATAAAATGTAGGATATCTGCTACACAAACACATTGAATAAGTTTTAAGAGAAGTTCTCTAATTTTAGTGAAAAAAATAGTTTGACATCACCTGCAGAATTTCCTAGGAGCTGTGTGTTATATACAAGGTTACACGTTATATATGCAAGGATATTTTGTGTTGGATCTTTTACTTTCATGTAATAAATCCATGAAGAAGTGGTTATTGTTCCAGATAGGATGTTGGCCCTGGGCTGCTGTAAGAACATGACTCTAGTGAGAAAGAGTCATGGCTGGGAGAGAGTCTGTGTCTATCCAGGCTCCTGGCATGGATGCACATTAGGGAGCAGGCAATGCAAAAAAAAAAATAAACCTCTGACTGCTTTACCAACCATCCCTGGTTCCTAATAAAATTCTGTCCAGATCCGTGGCTGGACAAATGGTCTGCAGACAGCGCAAAGCTGGTGGACGGCAGCACGTGTGCCTTGCGGCTCAGCACGCACCTCTGCTGAGCTGCAGCTTACGAAGGGATGTGAGGTGTCCTGAGCAGGCCCTTCTGCTTGCTGTGGGAGTCAGCCCGAGCTGGGGAAAGGAGCCGCCACGACCATCTGTGTCTTTGGACAGCTAGTGATGGGTATGCATTTATTCTGAAGCACTCTAGATGAATATTTTTATTTTATTTGTTAGTAGGTCAGTATGTAGAGCCATTCTTGAGCTCAGTAACTATGTGTCTTCATGCTACACTTCCTGAAGATAGTTCCTTTTTTAAAAAAATAAGAATAAAAAAAGATTTGTGATTGTGTACATGTCTTGGGGCCCAATATGATAAACCTGCTGCCACTTGACAGTTTACTGTATGTTAGCTGAGCTGTGATCACTTCTTTGTATGTCTGAGCTCTTACTGTTGTTGGCTGAACTCCAGTCACCTCAGTAGGTGCTTCACCTTTTCTTTCCAACCTGGAATAGGGCTGCATTTAAAGTAAAACTTCCTTTCCCAGAAGGTGTCTAGAGTATTAAGTGAAACAAGACTCTTTTTGACTCCTATTACTTGTGACAAGTTACTACTTCCTGGCAATGATCTTTAGCTGTCAGATTACTATATGTTGAGGGCATATGCCACCCTCTGTAGAATACCTCCATGATGATCTTTGTTTTGTATGCTTTTTGGGGTTTTTTTTCTGTTTTTTTTTGAGAAAAAAGGGAGAACGTCTACCTTTTACCTCTGAGAATCTCCAACTAATTGAACAATGTGCTGGCTTGCTTGCTATTGGCTTCTATAAGTTGTGGGCCTGCATACCTTAGGAAGATGTGGCCATTTACTGCAAGAAATCCAGGTAGACCTTCACAGGTACTTTCCAGAATCACTCCTGGACTGCTTCCTGTTCTATATTTGTTTAAATACGCCTCTCAGCTTGTCTCCTGACATTACTGGTGATACTATTTTAGAGTATCATAATTCTATATTAAAATATATATAACAATAATTTACATATTAAAAATAAATATGAAATTATTTTACCTTACCAGTTTAACAATTTTAGATAACTTTGCTACAACTTTTTTTTTGTTCAGAGATACATACAGAATTTTAAGTCATAAATTATTTAAAGGCCATGTCTTTATAATAGTACTGCAAAGAAAGCTGTTCAGTTTCTTACTTTTTTGCTGAACTAGGAAACGAATAATACACTGACATATAAATTTTTAGTACAAAAGGATCACTCATTTAATGCAAACGCTTGCGTAGGCCAGGCTATGATGTAATTTTACTTATTTGTGTGTGGACCCCAGTTACTTTTGATTTAAAGTGTATTTTCCAAAATGGTGTTTGTTTTGAATCGGAGAACCCCAAGAGAATTAAACGTTTCTCTTCTACCTTGTTTCACTAGTCAATTTGCTTGTTAGTTAAAAAGGTGAGCATCTTATTTAAATATTTGCCTCAATTTCATTTGCAGATACGTTTTTTTCTTTTGACTTTCCCCTTAGAATAAGAAGTGCTTTAGGAAGGCATTTTTTCCCCCCTCTGAAGGCATTTGCACGATAAACGGCAGGAGAGGTGCAGGGCGGAACTGGCACCCCGACCTCTTGGCTCTCCGTGATTCTAGGGGTTCCTCGTGTGCGCTCTGTTCTGGGCTGCCCCTGTTGCTCCCTAGGGTACGGCCACTGCTCTTTGCCCCTGCCTAGGAGGGTGCTGCTCCTGGCAGAGCTCAAACTTAATTTTATTTGAGTAGGCCCAGGCTTCCAAGGAGTGCGGTTAGTATCTTTTTCTGTCACTCGCTGTTCTCGAGTTTTATCACTGATGATGTATTTGTTCTCTGATCACAGATGGAAAAAGTTGATGAAACACAACCCTTCAGTGATGGGTTATTCTTTAGTCATTTTGAGATTTGTTAGCTCACCAGCTTTCAAGCTAGCCTGTGTGTTTTCTTGATGTTTTATAGCAATAGTGTCTGCTCAGAAAAAGATGACTGTACCATGCAAGCCCCTTGCAAAATTTAGCTTGCCTTAAATTAGTGCAAGGTACCCTTGTGCCAGTCCTGTAGTCACATCAGAGAAGGAAATACAGTTGTTTCAGAAGCTTGGTTTTCTGCGAAAACGTTTGACTGGAAATATTTGGTTGACACTTATAGCGCCGCACGCATGAGCCTGGCTCAGAGTAGAGTCCCCGATGCAGAGGTGTGTGAGGAGCAGAACCAGCTCCACTCTGGCAGCAAGTAATCCAAAGCTCGGCTTCCTAGACATGCTCATGCCTGAGTTTTATATATGTAGGACAGTAATGCTATAGATATTTCACCCTTAATATGCATAAACTTAAGCCGTGAGCAGCCAGTAGTAGTGTTGCGGCCTTAGATCTTAAGTTTTGGGGTTGGGTGCCAGCAGTGACACAGAGCTCTCTCTGGTCTCCTGCTTTTGCCAAAGGAGCACCACCAATCCTTGCACTGGGATGTGGAATCTGTGAAAGACTCTAACTGGGTACTGTAACCTGAGATGTGATTTATCCCCCTCCCTTCCTAGTTTTTGTTGTCTGGAGGCGAGCTCCTGGTAGCTAACGGAACAGGGGATCAGTTCCTGTGCAGGCACGGCAGAAGGGGGAAAAAGAGATCTTGGCTCATGCTCGTAATATGGCTTAGTTGCTGTAAATTTAGATGAACGATATTTTTCTAAGTATTGAAAAAGAATGGGTTTCATATGTGCACAAATAGTGAAAGGAATGGTCAGGAGAGAGAATTAAGCAAAGATCAGGCATGAAGAGAAAGAAGAGCATGTCCTTGCTGGTAGTATTCTAGTCATCTGTGTTTGGGGATGTTGCAAGTGTCTGTGGAAATCGACATTGCACTTTTCCCCTCTACGCTATCTCTGAATATCAAAGCAATAGCCTAGGGTGGAGCAGTGATCGTGACCTAAGCTGCAGCAGTGAAAACCTTGAGTGCTTTTAAATACTAGCTATGTGACAACCTTCTTTTTCCCTGCAATACCTACCGGAGGACTTCCTTTTGAACTGGCTGTCCTCTACAGGTCTGAGCTTTGTAAATCTGACAGGCTTTTTCCCTGCAATACCTACCGGAGGACCTCCTTTTGAACTGGCTGTCCTCTGGGACTATGGAAGATGGGGAATATATTCTGGTAGTATAGATTTATTATTTTTTTCCTTAATGTCGAAAACGATTGATTTCTCTTCAACACTGCTTTTCACTATCTGAATTTCTGATGTACTGTGCAAGTAATTCTTGTTGCGCAGCACCAGGAGAGAAGGGCTTGAGCCAAGCTCTGAAGGTGAAAGAGCGTGCCTGCCAGCATAATGCTTTGCTACTCCAGAAAGGTACCCGCAGCTAGGTGTGTGATGAGCTTGGGAGCTACACGTGGGTTAGTAAAGGCTGAAGCAAGAGGCAGGCGCGTCCTGCAGCTTCCTGTTTCCTTCTCGTGCTGTAACACTCCGGCATATTGCTTCTGTGCATTAAGTTAATTTACCGTTCTCTAAGGCTATAAAACTTTGTGTGCTAATTTCCAAAGAGCTTCAATCCTCAGTTGCTCTCATTAATTCCCATAATTAAAATTAATGAGAATGGTTGGTAGGCTGGTGTTTTTATTCCTTCTCATTATGGACCTACCCATTTTGGAATGCTAAAGCAAAATTTTTAAGACACACTTAGAGAATCCAAAGTATATAGACTTCATGAAGTGCAACTTAGTGAGCACTGTCAGGTGAGTTGTCAGGAATTGCAGTAGTCTTTAAGTACTAAACAGGCTTGCAGATGTGTACGGTGATGTTTGTTTGAGATCTTTGTAGTCCTGATATTTTGGGGGGTAGGATAGGAAGGGTTTTGTAACTATTTTACTAAGTTGCGTGTAAATTATGTTTTTCAGTAGAAAATAACAGAAGTTGCTGTAAATTGAGTGAAATGGAAATAAAGAAGTTGAGTTGAAATGCTGCATAACTAGTTAAAAGAAAAGTGGAAGTAATTTGAAGGGTACTTGTCTAGCTCTTATCTGTTGGATCTCCCTTTCAAAATACTATCTGTGCTATGCAAAAATGTGAGAATTTTCTAAGGTAAATCGTACCTGCCAAAGAAGCAAGTTGATGTGAAAAGCGGTGATGATGCCAGGAGCGTGTATCTTCCTTTCACTTTACTTACTTAAGTCTACTAAATCCTAAAGTAGATCCTTTTAGGATCAGATAGATCCAAAAATAAAACAAATAAGAGAAAAGCCTGAAGCACTGACATTACACTCCTGAAAATAGGAGAGAAAAACGGTCAAATAAGAATTTGTATCTTAGTGCTAGAATAAATGCACACCTTTTACATGATCATTTTTCCTGAGTGAAGCAGGACCTGTACAGGTAGACTCTTTAATTTTAGGAATTAAAACTTTATAACTTTAGTTCCAACTTATTATTTATTTCATGTTTACATACACCTCAGTCTTTTGACCAGCAGGGATTAAATTTGAGCTGTTGAAGACTAACTGTCAGGTAAATTTTCAATCAAGGAGCCATGAAATGCTAGACAGATTTCTCTGATGCTCTGAGCTCAAAGGTGTGCACGCTTCAAGATAGATCAGAATTAGGGTGTGTTAATCTGTTGAACAGTATGTGCTACCTTGCCCGTGAAGTGTGAAAAGTGCATCCTGTTTAACTGGAAAGATGTATAGATTGACAGCACTTGTACTATTTCCTCAGCTTCATGGTGTGAAGGTACAGATTAGGGACAAAGATGTTTAGTGATTGAAGTTCAGAAAAAGAATTTCTAAAAATTGGGAAAGAAATGAGTATCAGAAAATAAAAAAGGAATTGGCTCTTAAAACTCAGCTTCTTAAAATACTGTGCTACAGAAGAGTGTCTGCAGCGCTCCGGGCTGAGCACACAGACTGGAGGGCAGATGATAGACCGACCTATGCATTTGCCACCACGGTGCAGATTTTTCTTAAGGCACCCTCCTACAATTAAAGCCTTCTGCCGGCTTCTGTGAATAAACAGCGATGTTTCACTTACTACTCCAACGTTAGTTATTTCTACATTAGTTTAGTTTAAAATACCATTACTTACAAAAATTGTCTAAGCTAATGTAGTATCAAACATTTCCCTCTGATTGTCAAAAGCCTCTATGTTAAGAAAGCATTTGAAATCATTTGCCAATGGTTCCTGAGGTCAGCTGCCCCTTTAAATAAAAATTAAGTAGCAGTATGTTAATCTAACAGTATGAATTAGTACAGAATTTCTTTCCTGAGCTTTTCCTACCCGTAAATCATTTATCCTTCTCTCCACGTGAGAATATTCAAAATAATGAAATGAGCTTTCTTGAATTGTTTGCTGTCATTTAGTGGGGAGGGGGAGGAAAGGTTAATTATTTTCCTGTACTTACATATCCGTAGCTTCCCAGATCCTCTGAGCAGTTAAGGGAATTAGCAGGACAGCCTGACTGCGAAGCCTTGCCCTTGCACATTGTTTTGAAGAGTGATGACGTCTCGTCTTTGGTGGGAGGGGTAGCTCTTCGCATGCCTTAAAAAAAGAAAAAAAAAAAAACACTTATTTGTACGTCAGCCCTGATTTGCTGCCTACTGTTTTATGGATGTGAAAGCATCTATTTTGGTTTCTTTTACGATCAGCCTGCTCAAAGAGGGTAGTTAGAATCACCACCACCAACTCTCCCACAGTTACGTGCTGCTGTCCTTCATGTGAAGGGACTTTACCCAGAAGTTTGCGTGGTTGACTGGTGACCGACTAAAAACTCCTGAAAGAAAAGCTTTGGTTTACGTTACGTTTGTGTAGAAAAACAGTGTAATTTGTAACCAGGAGTCATCTGATCAGTACAAACTTTCTAACTGATCAGATCTGACCCAGCGCAAGATAACGCGCAGACGAAGGCGTGTGGCTGCGCTGTGTCACATCAGGCATCTCTACCACCCGTGTATGTTCCCAGCACTGCTCTAGGATTATGAGATGCCCTTTGAAAGCATGTGAAGGGGCTAGGAGCCCTGCCTTGCCCTGATGAGAAGATGTCCCTTTGTATACTGTTTGGTGCATTTTGAGCAAGGATACAAATGAAAAGTGCTTCTGATACAAACGCGAGGCAAATGCATTAAAAAGGAATGAGCAACTCTGAAAACACAAATCTGATTGCCCCAAAATTCTCTTAATAAGGATACCTTAAGAAATAACAAAGAAATGGGGTGTCAGATTTTGAGGTAATCTTTTGTTACCTATCATAAACTTTTTTGTGGGTGAAGAACATTCATCTAGCAATTAAACTGCATCTTGTTAAGGAGGTTGTGAAGATCATAAGTAGATGGAAATTCCTGGCATTGCTGTTAGAAACTGTAGTTGAGAGTTACCTGGGATTTTCCCCAAAACCTCATACAGATCATTCATCTCTGCAAAAGATGGTTTATCTCTAAGGTGGCCTCATTTGGTGGCCTGATTTTAAAAAGCAAGCAAGTAGACGTGATGGTGTTCATAGCAGGTCCAACCCGTGCAAAGGCTGGAAACTGTTAGGAGACACTAAAGCTGCATTCACACTGTTAAGGTTTTGCTGACAGTGCAGTCTCAGAGGTGTATGGAGCTATGATCTTGACTTCAGGAAGTGTTTAGAAGAACTGTTGAACTAACTGTGGATTTCTTTCTTTTTTTTCCTTGTTTTTATTTTTTTTCTACTTTTTTCACTTCATTAAAGAACAGAATATCTTATATGGAGTAATGAGCTGTAAACCAGTGTTTGAAGGGAAAGTACACAGGATCTTGCTTCATATGTACACAAAATAGTATTGCAACATCCCTGTCTAGAAAGAAGAATAGGCAGAAATTAAAAATCTGGAAATACAAAGGCATGCAGTAATTTTTGATCAAGGGTTGACATTAATACTATTAAAACTTTATAATGAAGGATATATCTATTTAAAAAAAAGTTTACTGTTGTAAAAATAGTACCAATACACATTTCTTGCCCTGATCTGATAAAATATTGCCTTCCTGTGATTAAGATATATTATTAGGTTGTCTCTTTGAGGCACCCTGATGCAGTAGCCACTTAGGCAGTGTGGCGCGAGGTGGCAGTTGCTTGGGCTGAGTGATGAACGTTGTAGTCCCTGCTACACCCTCCATCTTTCTAGCTGTTTGTTTTGTGTTCTTACAATGCTGCCATTTCTTCACATCTGGTTGCCTGCCGCAGCAGCACTTGGATATTTAAGGTGAAAAAAGGCACTTTACAGAAAGTGTGGTTTATTTTACCCTTTTCCTGCAGAAGTTTATTGTTTTTCTTTATTCAAATGTAACATGTAGATTAATAGAGCGATGTGTTACTTTCCGAGGTGTTGGCAGTTAATATTATGACCAGTGTGTTGTATTGCCACTGTTAGTTTATTTTTCTGTCTCTACTGCTGTATTTGAGCAATTTGCAGAGGGTGCTGGATTTATCCTTGCAATCTTGTATCCAGGCAGCTAGCACACAAAGCGAGAAAAAACTTCTGCACTTATGCAGGATGCTAATAGAACAACCGGCCTAAGTCCCAGTTCACTTTGTTAACTGCAAAACTATCCTGACTTCCAAAAAGAATCCCTTTTCCTTGGGAGATGGCTCGGGTGTCCAAAAGTCACCTGTGGCTGAATCCTGTCCTTTTCTCTAGACAAACATTATTTATCAAGTGACTCGAGTTTGTGCAACAGCAAGTGATTGCTCGTGAGTGAGTCATGGTAACCTGCTCCATTGCTTCATACGGGCCAAATAAAATGCTTTAGGTTAAACTGTGATAGAGATTTAGTTAAGCACCCAAGCCAGATGAACCGAAGCAGGAGTAAAGATTTCAGTTCAGCTGCTGGACCCTTCCTCCTCAGTGAAATATTCTGTCACCTAAATCCCTTCAGTGTTTTCCTTAAGCCTCCGTACCTCCCGATGTGCTCCCATTTTGGGCCAGGTCTACCCGAGTGGAGCTCACTGGGAGCCGCTGCCTCTGAGAAAGGGGCAAGCTCCTTTCTCTTGCTGAGCTCGGATTTTGCTTTGCTAAATATGGTCAGCAATGGTTGCCTCTTGGGAGATGAAAATAAGACAACCTAGTAAGTAAGCCATCATCATCATCAAACACTTGCTGCAGGTACCTGCTGCAGAGTTGGTGGCTAAACACAGATAACTAACTCTACGGCACCTGGCTGGTGGTAATTGCTTATCAGTTAAGAATAAACTGTCCTTGCTGTGATACTGTTGCTCAGTTGGGGTATAATGTTGGGCAAGTCTCTCCTGTCCCCCGTCTAGTTCATCAGTATGACCATTAGCACACTGCCTGCTGCTGAAGTGAATGGCAGTGCTTTTATATTTTATGTAGAGTGGATAGAGGCCTTGATAAAACAGTTTTGTTTCTCTTATTGGTAAGCTGAAAAAGTGCTCAGTGGTCTGCAAAAATGTTGTGTGGGGGCATAACTGAAGAAACGGTGCGTATTTTGGCAAGCTGGTACAATAGCAACAATCCCTCAGCAGATAGCTGAACTGAGAGCTATGGAGAACTTTGGTGAGAGAAGAAGAGCTGCCAGCCTCGTAAGCCTCGCACAAGCAAGGTTGAGATACGGCCAGCTGAAGAACAGAAGAAGCTAAAGAGTATTACTCACATACATCATCATGTAATTAATGATGGATACATTAAAAATAAAATCAAAAAGAAATTAGCCACCGAAAGATCAAGGTTTTGGATTAGCTTGCCAACCAACAAGGAGAGAAAAGAACCTGAAGGTGATTTACAATGGAACTGAGCAGTCCATGGAAAATATTGTCGGTCTCGGAAAAAGTTTTAAAGCTTTTTTAGAGAGAGCTAGATGTCTGACTTACTTTTTTCCATAAAGAGAGAATTTAAAAGTATTCGCTATTTGGTTAAAATGTGCTTGGTTTCATATTTTGATAAACCCAAAGTTGCAGTGATTTTGCTGAGATATCCAGGGACAGGAAGAGGCTACTTTTTTCCCTTATTAAGATGCACACAACTTCTTTTCAGGGTTTCTCTTGTTTTTTCTTTGTTTCTTTTTTAAAATTATTTTTCCCCCTCAATTCTTGTGAAAAATTGCTGATAAGTTACAAGAATACTGGGGAAAAAATGTCCTGGTTTTGAGAAGCTTCAGGAATTCCTGCTCATGTCTAGCAGAAGGTTTGGGTGCAGTGCCACCGGTGGTTCCTTTTAGTCCATTAGGCAGAGGATCAGAGCTGCCCAGAAATTAGCTAATTTTAGGATGTTATTTAGAATGTTTAATACATTTGAAAGACTGGCAACTTAAATGTAAAATGGCACTGTCTGGACAGGCCATAGGGAAGTAGAGCACTAACATAACAGATAAAGTGCAGTGTTTATGTGCTTTGTATTATTTGCAGCTCTACTACGTGGTCATGAGAGGTTAATGTTTCTATAAAGAACTTAAACTGATGTCAATAATGTGACCAATAAAAAAAAATACACTACAGCAGTAAATGTGGTGAGTCATTCTAAATAAACTAATGTAAAGGTTATTTCTGCAAATTTTAATCCCACAAAACTTCCAATGACAACAGCAGATACTTTTTGCAGAAGTAACATGAACTATTTACCCATTTATTCCTATGTCATAGAATCAGGGTGTTTCTTCCATATTTTATGCATATATTTGTTAGTTATATTTGTTAATGTTTATTTTAACCTGCATTTAATATTTATTCACCCTTTTAACATTAAGGTAGCTTGTTTCTTCCTTGGGAAACTATTGCCCCTGGTTGTTTGGTCTGTGTCAGTAGTTCATAGATCTCAGGTTTAAGGTTTTTTTTTCTTTTCATTTTTCTTTTTTTTTTTTCTTTTTTTTTTCTTTTTTCCCCCACAAGGCTGTTTTTTATATTGGTGATACTATCAGGAATAAAATGATGAATATGCTTTCAAGTGCCATGATTACCTTCTACTAAAAATTGAGATAATTTTGTGCAAAGAAAGGATATCATGATTCTCAGACACAAACAGGTGTGGACTCTAAATTGAGTTTGTGCCACTTGGTATTTAGGAAGGTGTTTTCAGTCATGTGGGTTAGAAACTAACATTTTTAATCAAAGCAAATAATTCTAAAGCATGAAAGATTAAACACTAGAATTTGAACACTCTGTATGGATACCATGTCCACTCCAAAGACTTACTGCAAAAGAAGGCTTTAGAATGATTGTATCTCCATTTTTGTTCCATAGACCAAAAGCATTTAAATGATTTTTCTAAGTTATTTTCCGCAGCATTATGGTGAAAGCATTGTGGGTGCCTCTCTGGAGTGCTTGCTTACACTAATGCATATGGCACTGGAACAAACAGGTGGGATTAGAAGTCTCTGCAGTTACAGAGCTGTAACCACATCCCACTGGAATCACAGAGATGTGGTGGGATATCGCAGCACTCCAGTCATGTTAGCTGGATGGATAGAGGCCGTTTAGGAAGGGCAAGCTCTGAGGTGAGGTGGGAGGAAGAGTTGTTCTTCGGCAGCGAAAATGTGTGTAGCTCTGCACAGGAGGGGATGGTGGGCCAACTGAGAGCTTATAGGTCCAGACTAATGGACAGCCAAATGTGGGTAATGTTGTTGTGGTTGCCCAGAGAGGTTGTGGAAATTCCATCCCTAGAGGTATGCAAAGCACCACTGGATGAGATCCTGGGCAACGTGCTGTAGGTGGCCCTGCTTAAGAAGGGGGATAGGGGTGGGGTGGGGGATTGGACTCCAGAGATCTCTTCTGATCTCAGCTCTTAGGGAATTCCCTGAAAAAACTTCAAAGGAATAAGAGGAAAGGCAAAGAGGAAAAGAGAAAAGTGAAGAAGAGAGTAGTAGTCCTTAAGTAAGAGTATATTTTCCATTTAGACTATATTTTCCATTTGGATGCTGAATCTATGTTACCAAGCAATTAATTAATGTAATGCAAAGAATTAAAGTGAGTTCTTTGATTTACAGTGCATGAATGGTTGTCTAACCTATGCAGCCAAATACAGAAACAGAAATCTCTCCAGTGACTGCAAGCTTCAGCACCAAGACTTTAGTTATTCACAGAATAGTAATCTAGGTTGGACAGTACCACGGCAGTCATACACTCCAATCCCCCCGTTCAAAGCAGGTCCAACTAGAGGAGATTGCTCAGAGCTGTGTCCAAGTGAAATTTGAATATCTCTGTGACTGGAGATTCTTGCTGTGCGGGCTCCTTGGCCCGTCATTACCGTCTGCTGAATTTGTTCCAATGGGTCAATGACTTATAACGAGGGGCCCCAGACTGGGAACAGAGCCCTGGTGCAGTCTGAGACATTCCAAACGGAAGAGAATATTGCTTCCCGTGGCCTGGTGACTCCACACTTGCTAGAACAGCCCAGTATGCAAATTGTCCTTCCCTGCAAGGGTGAACTGCTTACTACTTATAATTTGAAGGTTTTCCCAGGTCCTTATTTTTGCAAATCTGCTTTCTGGCCCGTCTGTGCGGTTGCACGTGGTTATTCCAACCCAGGTGCAGAACTCCGCATTTGCTCTTGTTAAGCTTCATAAGTTTCCTGTCAGCCCATTTCTCTCCAGTGCATCGAGATATGTGTGAATAGCAGCGCTGCTCTCCAGTGTTTTGGCATGAAGAATAATTGTCCCCAGTATGGGTTGCTGAGGCATGCAGGTAGTAACTGGTCACCATTTGGACTTTGTACTGCTGGTCAGAATCTTTTGAGTCCAGCAGTGCAGCCAGTTCCCCACAGAGTTCCCATATTCAGTGCAAACCTTCCCAGTTTTGCTTCAAGGCGCAGTGGGAGTCTGACCCAAAGGCCTTGCCAGAGTGAAAGTAGATAGCGGCATCCACTACCTTGCCCCTGTCTGCAGTGCCAGTCATCTTGTCACAGGAAGCAGTTGCGTTAGTCAGGCATGATTTGCCTTTTAAATCAGTGTTGGCTTTTAGCCATCACTTTGTCCTTCACGTGGCCAGAAAAGGCTTCTAAGGGGATTTGCCCTGTAATCTTCCCAGGGACTGAGGTGAGGCTGGCTGAAGTTACTTGAAGCTTCCTTCTTGAAGACGAGTGATATTTGCGTGTTTAGAAACGTGCCCTGATCACCATGACTTTCCAAGAACAGCCTAACAGTAGCCATCTCCTTCAGCACCCTGAGGTGCATCCCATCTGGTCCCATTGACTTGGGTACGTCCAAATGGCTCAAGTGTTTCCTGACTGTGTTCCTCGATAGTGGATACTGCTTCAGTCCCACAGTCTGGACAGTGCTGGGAGTCTCAGGCATCTAGGAGAGCACAAACCTTATCTGTGACGACAGAGGCAAAAAAAGATTGAGTACGTCAGCCTTTTCCATGTCCTTTGACACAACGTACTTCTTCCTTAGCCTTCCCTTTGCTGCTTGTGTGTCATATTATATTATTGTTTCGTAGATAACCTCTTTGGAAGGCCCACTGTAGTTGAGCAGCATCTATGTATATATTCTAAAACAAGGCATGATTAATGCTTAGAAAATTTTGAACAGAACAGAAAAGATAAACTATGAATTTTAAGAGAGCTACATGATGAAAAGAAAACAGTTTTCATGCAATGGATTACCTTGTGGAAATGAGTTAGACATGAAATTAGAAAAATCCTGTATGGATATTAGTGAAATACCTGTTTATACTAAGATTTAACTCTATCCAAGAAACATAAACATATGCCTTTGCAGGTGTAAGTCTGTCTGGGTGTCTAACTACTCTTTTAGAGGAAAAAAAAAACATTTTTGTGTTCCCCTTAGCTCCTCTAGTTTGTCACGTTATGAGCAGTGTCAGATACAAGACAGTCACATGAGTCACCATCTTCGTCTGGGATGGCATGCTCTATGTTTCACTGCTGGTGTAAGTGATCAATATTAACATTTAAGGAACCTTTCAGCACTTTGTAATCTCTTTTTGAAACACAGTTGTAGTCATGGGAAATTCCTTTCTGTAATTCCCCATCTTATGAGTGAGTGCACTCTTGCATGTAAAATCTTGGTGTTTGAGTCACTAGATACCACGGGAGAAATAAAACCTGAAAAGTATGCTGAAACCATATGGTAAGAATAGAAAGAATTAAATTCCATAAACTGAAAATCTGTAAAATTATTTTTCTAAGAGAGGAAAAGATGTTTTTTTTTCTTTTTTTTTCTCTTTCCTCACTTACCAAATTGGTAATTGCAACAGAAATAATTCTGATAAAGAAATATTTTTGTATGTACTACTTTTGTAGCTCTGCCTCTGAACTCCCACAGCTCAAATGATTTGAATATATGCAAAGAGTTGTTTGTGTATATATACAGATGAAATCTGTAGTTTCTACAGATGAAACTTACTAGAGTTAGCATTCTCTGTGCGCTCACATTCATCCGACGGTTTGCTGAAGATATTATACTAAAAATGATTCAGTCTCATTTAATTAAACTTCATTTAAGTCCTCAGAGGCAGACGTTTTCAGCAAGCTGAACTTCAAATATAGCAAATGGTAATGAAATAGTCTTAAGCCACCACCCATTAAATGAGTAAAAATAATATTTGAACTGTGAATTTGATTATCATTTTTTTCCAGTTACAAGTATCATATTCGGCAGTTACTCAGGAAATGAAAGTCTAAATATTCAGTCTAGCATTTCCCAGGGTGTTACTGCCATCAGTAGGACCTCCTCAAGGAAGACCCTGTTTTTGAGTGAGCCCTCCAACGTGTGTAGCTCCTGGCTCCTGCCGTTTGTCCGCATTTGTCCATTGAGCATAGCAAGATCCTATGTGTGTGAAGGCCTGTAAAAACTGTAGGCCTTAGTCAGCAAGGAGAGTAAAATTATCCTTTAGGGTATCCAGCCTATCTGAGCCACAAGACAGCCTGAGTTAAGTGGGGGCAGATGTACATTTTGCGGGTAACCCACCCCCCAATGATCAGCTGTCGCTTGTTGCTTGGAAGCTATCGCCACGGTAGCTCTGCCGGAGGAGGGCCTCATGTCTAGGCTCCCTTGTCTGCTCCACCAGTATTGGCCAGGTTATGCTGCTACCTGCTTAAATGCAGGGGAAGATTCAGCCAACGCTTTTTTTTTTTTCATTAGTGACTTAGATGCCCAAAATGGTTGATGGGCAAAACTGTGGAAACAATATTTTGGGCTGACAAGAGGTGTTGAAGTATGGCAAAGAGCTAAGCTTTGACTGAGCTGGAGAAAGGAGTTCTCTGACTAGCCTGAAGCAGCTGATAGTATATCTTGCTTATAGATGTGTTGGAGCCTGAATTGGAATCTAAAGACATCTTCCCTTATGGGAAGGAACTTTTTTGTTGTTAATCTTTATCTCTGTTCTTGGAAGTATTTTTCTTCTAGTATCTCCTAAATCTGTGCCTTTGGCACTGGTTCTGCAGTGGTAATTTCCTGGAAACTGAAAGGTTTTAACGTAAAGGCTTTGCGTTTGGGGATATGCATGAAACGCTCATAATTTCCATCAAACTGGTGTGGTCATTGTATAAGGTGCTTGAGTCTTAAATTTGGTAGAACTGACCTTGAAGAGCGTGTGGAAACTCAGCATCTCGTGCTGTGATAGAGGTGAGAATCCTAAAGACCGTTCGTTATGCGTAGGCCTGTGCAAGGTGCCCACAAAGGGACTGGCGTCAAACTGTGGGGGTTCCAGCCCTCTGATGAGCTGTGATATGCAGTGTGTCATCAAACTGGCAATGCCGTAGGCTGGGCTGAATATAAGGGCATAACTTTATAAGGTGTTCAGAGGTCTCCATCATCTTTTGGAGTAAGTGCCATCCTTTTCACTCACAAAACAGAAGTTTTGTTTTGTTACAGGTGACTTGTTTTTCTTGTTTTGAATGCTGCCTTTTATGGAAATAATCTGCTATTACAATAAAAATATTGTCTTCTATGCTGCTTCCATCCTGAACAATAGCGAAATAAGATACTTTTGTCACCTGTTTCTTTGCAATGAAAATTGCCAAGTAATCATACTTATTTTGCTGTGGGATCTATTATATTGAACGTAATAAACTTTCTAATTTTCAGATCCTACGGAACTTTGCAAGGTTATACTGCACTTTGTACATAGAATTAATTATATTGTTTTACATTATTATTGCTAATATTCCTATTAACGATCTGTATCTTTCTCTTTGCAGCTTGGGTCCTGTATTTGCTTTGTTTGTACCATTTTACGGCTCCATTCCAAGAGTGCAGGTGACACAAGTATTAGGCCACTTTTCTATCACAAACAAGACACTGGTCTATATACTGGGTTTACAGGTATGGTATGTACTTGCTTGTTCATCTTTTATTGAATTGATAACCTAGCAGTTAATATCACTCTGTGTTATTATATCAATTTGGACCCATGTGAGTGGTACATATATTTAGCTAGTGTCTATCCTGTCAATTAAAATACTGAAAAGCTTGTACTTCTGCTATTCAGCATTTCTGCATGCTGAAGTAGTCAACAAAGTATCTGTTGTTCCATTGTCTTGCATGGCAAAATATAATGTGCAAATTCTGTAATTCCTTTTATTTTGGTTCAATGAAATGAACCAGGTGAAAATGGTGGGAACCTGCTGCTGAGGCATGCACCTCTTTCACCTTCGTAATTTGCTCTGTTTTCTTGGTTTTGTTTGTTTTCCCTTTGTCTGTTAGATCTCAAATTAAGCCAACAGAGTACAGTACTTTTCTGTGGTAAGAGTGTCTGTAAATAAAATTATCAAAAATTCGTCTGAATTGTACTTCTGTGTAAATTAATATTGGTTTTATACAAAGCATTTCCATATGACAGGTAATTGAAAATATTTTTAAATAGAGTGCAGCAATATCAAGGAGTTTTACCTTAAAAAATAAATGGAAAAACATAAATGCTTGATAAAGACACACAATAGTTGTTTAAGAAAGCAAAAGTACCCACAACAGCCTAGAAATGAGTGGGCAGCCGTGTCACAAGGTGAATTATGGAACAGAAGTCTTTCCCCCTTATGAGAAGTTGTACTCATTTTTATACGTTCTAGGGACTCAGAAATAGCTCCAAAACTAACGGAAAGCACCAGAAGTACCTGAGGGGTAGTAGAGAGTATTTTAGAATGAATGGTCACTTTCAGAACATTGATTCATGCTCCACCTGAACATCTCATTCATCCATTTGCTGTGGAGCATTGGGATTACGCTGATTTCTACTCCACCACCAGCCTTTTTTAGATTTTTCAGAACTCGTGCTTCCTCTCTGTTGAAGCCATCGCCACCACTACTGTTTCTGTTAAAACAATGGCATCGTCTGATCTTTGTTCCCCTGTATCCCTTGCCTTTTGCTTTCTTGCATCTAACACTTTGAGATCACTAGTTGCTAATTACTGTGTCTTCACTGGATTTTGCTCTGCTTTATACAGAGCAGTAGCTGCTGTCACGGAGGGAAGCACATCTGCCTTCTCATTTATAAGCTCTGTCCTTGTCTCAAGCCTCTCTTTCCATAGTCACAAGTCTAGAGGAGATATTCTCATGACTCAGTCTGCATCTTACAGACCTACTTTTGTAGGTCTATAAGACCTGCAGCTTTCAGTCTAATTTTCAGCCTGTTTTTCCAGTTGATAATAACCTTCTCCAGGTGATTAATCCCCTCTACTTTGCTAAAAGTGATGGGCCCCCCTGTTGATATGTAGACTTTTTGAAAATGTACTCAGCCTACTTCTGTGATTTTGTATCTATAAACATTCCACTGGGAGACAACTTTATATCTTTCTGACATTCATTTTTGGTCTTTCCGTGGCTGCCTGTGTAAGAGCTTCACTTGCACTGCCTTCCCCTGCTTGGAACTCTTCTCCTGCTGCTACTGCTGAGTCATTTCCTTTGCTTCAGTCTATCTTTTAAACTTGTTTTTCAGTGCAGCCTATAACTGACATCCTGTTATACATAGTATGTTATATGAAAATAAAATGTATTGTTCTGTAGGAAGAGAACAATTGTTGGATCCCTGTGTTTTTTCCACCTCTGCTACTTCTAGGATATCTCTTTGTTAATGTTAAACAGAATTTTCACAGAAATAAATGTTTGACTTTTCCCATTGTCATGATAAATACAAACCTGCAGTGCAGTAAATCAGACAGCAATCACTATGTTAAATTAAAATTTAAATCATTACTCTTATCTTCTAGCTCCTAACCTCTGGTTCCTACATCTGGATCTTAGCCTTAAGTGGATTGGTAAGTCTACTGCTTTAAAAACCGTGTGATGCTTAAAGCTCTCTGCTACATATACAGTACAACATATTTGAACTCAAAAAAAGAACTAGGACTGCTGAGTTATGTTTGTCATTGTAACAGTACATAGAAAATTTTTGTCTTTAATTCTTGAAAGTGTGAAGTGCTGGCTGCTGCTAAACTGACAGGCAAAAAGTTGGCTTATATTTGTAGGTTGCCAATGCTTTCTGACCCCATAAAAACATTTTGCAGCTTTAGACTTTCAACTTAAGTGAATAGAATGCAGAAATGGTAGCAATATCAATTTCAATAGCATGTTCTCTGATATCCTTTATTTACCTGTTGTTTCATTTTTATCAGTTTTCAGCACATCTCAAGCTTTTCCTCCAGAACGCAGCTCCCAGCTGCTCTGTGAGGATACCGCGTTCGGCCGTCCTCATGTCTCTGTTTGCAGCGCGGCCATTTTGCGCTGCCCAGCAGCTGTGAGAGTGCGAAGGCACTTTCCTCACCGCTTTCAGATAAAAGTGGGGTGGAAATATCTGTCTTTTTTTCCTTTTCAACTATGGTCTTAGCATTAAAGCATTCAGAGTACTGAAACAGATTGTACTGAATCTTCTAGATTATTAGATACTGATTAGCTGCTTGTGATATTTTTGTATGTTTACAAGTTAGGAGCTCTAGCTGTGATTTCCTGCACCAGAATTTTCTCTGTTTTTCAAACAACTGAAAAGTGCTACTGCTTCCAAAGCAGCTCACTGCTAATTTATGCAGACTTATGAAAAAAATTTAAATTGTGTCTTTGCTGTTAGAACCCACTAATTCAAACGGAGGTAAACTCAGAATGAAATGACTATGGACACTCCCTGTATTGCTGCCATAATTCAGTAGTTCAGAGTCTTACCAGTTCCCCTGAGTGCTCCAAAGCATTGTGTGAGTATTGGCAGAGCAGCCAGCAGAAAGGCCAGAGCAGCAAATGGTGAAGCCCCAGCAGTCTGGCCATACCACAAGTGTAGGTGAGAGCAATGAAACTAACAGCCTGGACTTTCTCTATCCTGGAGATTAGCCCAAACCTCTGAGCCTGACGAAGGATCTGTGGCTTCCTCCCTATACTCTCCCCTTCCTGTTACTCTCCTGGCTCTTTTAATAGCCCTTCCTTTAGAACAGGAGTTCATTGGGAAGGAAAGGAAAGGAAAGGCCTTTAACCCCTTCTTGCTTGGGGCTGAGAGCCATGTACCACTTGCCTATACAGGTTATCCAGTTCTTAATTTAATTCCCTTGTTAATGTACACTTTTCTTCAGATGCATAATATAAGTTTGTTAGGATTCCTTTTCATATATCATCTTTTTAATTTAAGGTTTATAGTATGTTTTAAATAGATGTAAGTCCACAGAAATAAGCTGAGCGTTCTTTGAGTTACAGTAAGCCTTAAAAAAAGAACATTTAAAGTTTTCATCTTGCTGCAGTCCCCCTTTAACTGATAGCATGATTTAAGTCATCATCAGAAACTGGTGTTTTTTCAATCTCAGATTTTTCTGCAACAAGCAGAGATCTGCAGCCTTCAGCTCTTCTGCTAAGTTTACAATTTTGAAAAAAGTTTAGGACATTTTTCACACAGTGATTCTATCAGACCTCTGTGAATAGTAAACATTCCTTTCCTCTCTATATAAGTGTGTGTGTGTACATATATATATGTACACACACACACGTATGTCTCATGATTTGGAGTCTTTTGAGAAAGCAGATAAGGGAATAAAGTTTTAGAGAGTATTAAAGGATCTGAAGAGAAATATGAACTACATCCTTCAAGTACTGGAAACCTAGATACTTTTATTACATCTGTATGTGTAGAATTACAGAAACACATTGGGTATGAAATGCATGTTGAATCATTTTGACAACTGATATATTTTCGGAACTGATATTACTGTTACCTATGTGGCCTACTGTATCTGTGGTGAATTGAATTTGCATGTATCTGCACAGACAGAGTAAATACATGAATACTGAGTCAGCCTAGGTGTGGGATTTGGTTGACTGGACACTTTGCTGTCTAAATTTTTAGCTGAAAATAGCCCTTAGACTTGCATATGACTGTATGCTGTGCTGTGCTGCAATTTAGCTCTTGTTACACTTGTGCTTATCTGGAGTGCGACGTACAGTTGTACAATGTACCGGCACCTGTGCTGTGCTGCAATTTAGCTCTTGTCACACTTGTGGAGTGCAACGTACAGTTGTACAATGTACCGGCATAGTATTTGAGTTGTCAGTTCATTCACTTCAGGATGCTCCTAGTTTAGGCTTATTTAAATTCTCACAATTGATATTTTAACATATAATGAATCCCTTAGACTAAATGAGAGCTGGCTTTTCAGGTAGAAGATGTGGCATCAGGGAGAGATTTTTCTTCTATTCATGCTTGTTAATGCTCTTAAAGTTGTGTATAAATTCCAGTCAGGTGTAAAACAGCTTGGATTTGTACCTCCTTGAGTTCGTGTTTTCAGTGGGTTGGAGAATCAAAGAAGTTCTGGCGTTCATCTTCGCTTTAAGACTTGTCTTCCTGGATCAAGTAACTTTGAATGAACGTAGAAGGACACTCTTAAAGGCAACTTGCTTACTCTTCTGCTTGCAACTAGTGTACCTCTCGGTTAACTCTGTTTTGGTATGGCAGGATGGGCCTCATGATTGTAGTTGCTAATATGTTGTGTTATCCTGTGATACTGAAGTTTATTTACCCCAAAAAAAAAAAAGGGAAGAATATTAAAAAAAATATATAGATTATAGATTTATAGTCTATATAGACTATTATAGCCTATATAGTCTATTACAGGCTATAGATTTATAGTCCAGGTTTGTTTGGTATGATAGGTTTTTTTCTTATTAGTGTCATAAAGTTAGGATGTTTTTGATTAGAGATTTCCATTTGACCTTAAGCCAAAAATTATTTGCATAATTGTTTACAGGAGGACAGAGCTTACTGTAATTAATATTGCTCAGTTCACTGAATCCCAGAAACAATTTCCTTACTGTTTTTCTTTAAAACACTCAAAACACCTTAGAAAGTTGTGTCTGCTTATATGTTTCTTTAGACTTATATACATCAGTCCATCTTCTCTCCCCTTTTCCTCCCTTGACAAAAATGTCAGCTCATATTTTGTGCTATTCCTTCACTCCTGCAAGTTTTGTATTTGAGGGGGCAGGTCAAGGCTCATTCAATCACAGGTACAACATGGCCCGTTCAAGAAATAAACTCAGGCCAGCACCAGCAGGTGAAATACATCCACTGGGATGCACAGTGCCCTCTGCCCTGTCATGTAGTGTTAGCATCACATGAGCCAAGGTTTCCTTTACCTATGGTGTTAGGGCTCTATTTCATAAGGGGTAACCGGCTTTGAGCCTTCTTCCATTTTAGTCATGTTAGTGTTGAAGATTCTTGCTTTTAGCTAGCAGTTTGTTCGTTGGTTGATTTGTAAGGTGTCTTGTATTGCAGAAAATTCAAAATTTGGAATAGCCGGTGCTTCTGTGAGCTGTCTTCAGCCTTTGTGAAGTTCCCTTCAAACCTTAGGGAGTGTAAACTGCTTTAACCTTACAAATGCTCTTGTTTCCAAAGCTCTATTTACTTTGCGTGTGTCCGTAAATGAAGTGGAATGGCTTTCCAATGTGTGCCTGTGCTGTCTGGTGACTTACCTTCCTCAGGCTGTGTGAAAAGTTAGACATTTACACTTCAGGTGCTGGAAAACTGTAGACGGTACATTAGAACATAAACTTAGAGGCTTAAGGTTTAAATAGAAAGTTCAGGTAATACTGAGTGTTTAGTTTTAATTTCAGTTCTGATTTTTGAGTGCTTTAAATCTTATTCTTGATTTTCAATCTGCTGGCTTGGATTTACCTGGACTTAGGGATGCCAGTTGTTAAATACTCAGTGTACTTTGGATTTGGGTTTTCAGTTCTGTTTGCTAAGAACTTTATTCTTTCTCTCTGTTCATTTTTTTTTCAGCTGATATATCTTTTTCTGGAGACATTCCTGTCTGTGGCACATTGCCCCTTTTGGGGCAAGATGTAACCAGTCTACTTGTGAGCAAAATATTTAAACCACACATCTTTTTTTTTAAACTCCTTGATTTAATAGTAAAATTACATACTTAATAACTGGCCAGACCCAGAGATAAATGGTTTTATTGCCCTTCTTTCTCATTTTATACATTTTCTTATGTAATTTCTAACAATCTGTATTGAATTTTGTTGTTGCATTTTTTGCATTCTTATTACTCTACAATGAAGTATTCACACATCAAATATAGTCTCTTCTGCATACTTGAAATTACCATGAAATCATTGCCAGTTTTCCTAAACTCTTTGGCCAGATCTGATAACGCAGTGTACTGTTACCTCCACATTCATATCCTGCCACATGTCCTTTTTTGTCCTCCAGATATTTCACGTTTAGTCTTGCATAGGGCTTTGGTCCATGTCAAAGAATGTCAGTCTGTCAGAGAGTCTTCCTTGACTTCTGTGTAAATGTCTAATTATAAATAGTGCTTCAGATAATTTGTATCTAGTTCAATTATCTTGTGGGCTGTTTTGATGACATAGAAGAGGATCAGTCTAATATGAGTAAGCTATGTGTTATCTGTTTTTTTGGGGGGTCATCTATAGCCAAACAATATTTGAACTGGCATTCAGGGTAAATAAAAGCTAATGGGTTAGCATGAGTAAAATCACATTTATAACTTTTTTAAATTTTAAGTTATGAAGAACTATGCTGAAGAAAAAATTTACTGAAGTATTATATTTAAATAATATTACGTAATCAAATGATACAGTCGTATTTTGAGTATTATTGTGTAAAATAAAATTTAGTGCATTCGAGATAACATTAATAGCACTCCGAAAAGACTTCCAGTGCTATTTTTTCATTTTGAGGTTTTCATCTAAATGCCTGATAACAGACTACTTCACAGGGTATTTTTGACTTTAAAAAGTGGAAAAAAGAGGGGCTTGTCCTTAACAGTATCTCTTAAACCAGAAGTAATCTTGTAAGTATGTTTTAGTCTTCTAGTTAGAAAAAAAAAAGTAGAAATTTGGTTGATACATAGTTGTGAAACAGCATATTTTAGTCGTTTAAATTATCCAGAAACATAATCTTCTTGCACATTGCTGTGGATTCTGCTCTGAGAGCTGCAGCAAAGGCTTGTACTATAGAAAAGGTGTGGCTCGGGGGAGATCTCCAGAACTACAGTAGGTACAAGGAGGTTGTAGTGAGGTGGAGGTTGAACTCTTCTCCAAAATAACTACTGTAGGACAAGGGGAAATGGCCTCAAGAGGCACCGGGGGAGTTTCAGGTTAGACATTAGGAAAAAATTCTACACAGAAAGAGTAGTGAAGCCTTGGAACAGGCTGCCCTGGGAAGTGGTGGAGTCACCCTCCTTGGCAGTGTTCAAGAAAAGTGTAGATGAGGCACGTAGGGCCTGGTTTAACAGGCATGGTCTTGAGGGGCCTACGGTTGTCCTCGATCTTGAAGGTCTTTTCCAACCATAATGATTCTATGATTAAGTCACAAGTTAAGAGTAGAAGTACTATGCTGAAATACCAGTACACTCATGCCTGCAAATATGCAAATAACTGAGATCTGATAATGTTTGTGCTTGGCAAATAAAGATAGCATTGAAGGACTTGAAGAAAAATATTTCAATATATCTTGCAAGTTCATGACCTCAGTCAACTAGGAAGGAAGTTAAAGAGAATTAGTCTATTATTAATAGAATCTTATTTTTCTTTCAGCCTACCTTTTACAAAAGTTTATACTCTTAGCAGCTTTCTCTCCAAAGAAAACCAAAACAAAATATTTTACTGTGTTACATATACACTGCAGGTTAGAACTACCAGTTGAATACATGCATAGCAGTTTATTTGTTGGGTGGTTTTGCCATGCTTTCTCTTGGTTTGATGAGTGATAAGTTTCTCTAATCAAGAGAAATAGAGAATTTTGAGGCAACCATCAGCACCTCATTTTGATTCTAGTTATATAGAAAGAACTAGGAATATGCTATGGACAAACTAAACAATAAGTACAAAACTAACATCAGCGTAATATCTCAGCGTAATTACTTGCTTCTGATTTATTGATATCTGAAAATAATAAGTCTTGAATACATACGATAAATATATTTGAATTATTTAGAAGCAAAAATAGAACATTTGCCGACTTTTAATTTCTGTCAATCTATTTTTTTTTCACTTAACATTAAGCAAAATATTTTTCAGCATCATTTCCAATACCAATTAGCATACTGTTTCTCTGTTTGATGTTCTTTTTAGTGTTAGTCCAGTACAATGATTCACAATATTTCAATTAATAATGGAGCATGTGAGTCTACATGTCGTATAATATACTGGAAAGCTTCCATTTTCGGTTTACCTAATGAAAAAGAGAATCTGCAGCTAGTTCCTTTTTCTGAAAAAAACCTAAAACTTTGGAAGGACGTGAGGGAAGCGGAGGGGAAGTTGGCCTTTCTTACAGGGCGGGAGGAGGTTAGGAAGTTTCGTGTGGCGGACTGGTAGTAGCACATGATACCAAGCAACTGAAAAATAAGTAAGCGTGCTTGTTTCCTGTGGTGTGCCAAACCACTTAAGGCACATCCATTTTCTCTGCTCAGCATTTTTTCTTGATCAAAAACTAAAGATATGATTGCTAAGACTGTAGGGTATGATGGTGTGACTATAATAAAGTGACCTAGATACATTTTATGTTGGCAGCTAAAAGCATTCAATGATAACAGCGTGAATTTAACCTCAGTGTCTTTCCACAATGACTTTTCAAGAGCTTAAAAATCCCTGAATGCTCATAGCTTTAGGGAGAGTAGCCCTTTAACCTGATGTACAGTGTTCAAGTTGGGGAATAGTGAAATCAACTTTACAGTCTTAGTATTTTGGACCTTAAAAACTGAAAATTCACTTCATGGCTCTAAGATGTATTGTTAAGGTTGCTTTGTAAAATGATAGATACCAAGTTCTGCCTGTGAACTGCTAAAGAGGAAGTTCTTTGAAAGTACTTGACATCAAAATGGGTGTATGACACTAAACCAGACTGAGTCACAAGACCTGCTCTAACTGCAAGTGTCTCCATTCTGTGTTTATTGGAAATATGTAGATGACTCTTTCTTCCTCACTAGAGGAAACTTCTTGAAAATGGGTTAAGACTGAGCCAGCTGGTGTAAAGTTTCCAATGCTTCCACCTCATAGCTTTGTAACTGCCACAGAAAACGAGGAGAGGGCGGAGGCAGTGACACTGAAATCCTGACAAACACGAAGGTAACCAGATGACTTTAGGCAGTGTGTATTAAGTTAGCACCTTTCATAGCTGAGTCAATCCCTCCACCTGTTTATAGTCTCAGATCACTAGCGCACGCTTGCACAGTTGCTCCACACAGCCGAGGGTCTGCAGTAAGCTCCTCTCCGTGCAGCTGTGCCTTTCTCCCACCGTACCAGTTGTGTCGTCTTCTTTCACCACGTGCTTTTTGTTTCAGGTTTTCTCGTGAGCCTTCTGTCGCTCAACGTCTTGACTTTCTTCTCCGCGGGTGCCCAGGGCCCGTGTTATGTAATAGGTTTCCGTCTCGGGCAGGGCAGGGAGGAGCCAGGGTGCTCATCTGCCACCGAGGAGCAGCGGGGGCAGCGGTGGCTGCCACCTGCGTCTGGTTTCGTTGCGTCCGCGCCAGGCGCGCTGCCTGAATGAGCTCAGCAGAGCTGGGGGGAGAGAGGCGGCAGCCACGTGTGCCAGTCTCACTGCGGGGCTCAGGCTTGACCGTTTGCATTGCAGCAGTGCCCATCCTCTACGTCCTGTGTTAAAACTTTTCTCCTGGCTAAGAAGTTTGTTGTCAAATGTTGTCAAATGAGTAGCTCCTCTGCAGAGAGGGGTATGAGAGTGCTGTCGCTGGTACAGTTGTTGGCAATGTTTTCAATACACTTTCCTTCCTGAGACAAACAAGTCCCAAAGCACTGACACTAAAGGCGTGCTGCTGATACCTCTCTTGCTGTATTTTGTATCTCAAATTGATAGGAGAACAATTCTGTTTGCGGTTAGTGTGTTCAGACACGTGTCAAGATTTGTCATACGTTCAGTGATGAGATGTAGATTTTCCTATCACCACTCACTTTGTTTTGTTCTTGTGACTTTCTCAACTTGGTCAAGTTCGAGGGTGCTTGGAAAGCCTGTGGCTGATAAGAGTGGCACAAATGCAGGGGGCCATGTGGAAGGGGTGAGGGAATGTTTAGATATGATATTGGACAAAGCATTGCAGGTGAGAGCACCGTGTCTCCCCTGCCTTTGCGTGCCCGGAACCAGACACAGTCTTCCCCTGCAGCCTGATGCTATAGGGGTTGTTTGTAGGTTGGTGCTGTTTGTGCTTTTTGCATCTAAGGAATCCTTGGATTAAATGTACATGTAATGTTTGCAGGCCGGGTTAGTAGTTTTCACTCCCATAGAATGGCTTTCTCAGCACCCACAGATTGGAGCTTTCCTGGAGCGAGGTGTCAATATTAAAATAAGCCAAACCGCTGTCTTGGGACCTGATAGTTAGCTCCTGAGGTGCCTTCTTGGTATGGCAAATACCCGAAGTCTTACGTACCAAAGGCACGTGCGTCACAGAAGCGATAGGAATATTATTACTTACTCTCTCTGTAGTACTATCTTAGTCTCTCTATAGTACTATCTTAGTCTGCAGTTGACGTGGCCAGGTTTTGGTCTCAGGTTTACAGTTCTCATGAACAGTTGCACTAGAATTGAGGAAAGAATTACTGAGGCAATGAAGAAGTTGCTTTTCCAGTGCCCTGTCATCCCTGGGGTCAAATCAGGGCCTTGCTTTGAATATGGACTATTTGTGTTAAAGGCAGCCTTCACTCTGGTGCCAGAGGTGGTGGCCCTGCCCTTATCACGTGCCATTTACCACCTCCATCATAGCCCAAAAAGATAAAACAGCTAAAGGCCATTTTAAGGCTGTTCTTTCTCTTTTTGGAATTGTATCCTCTGTTTGCTGCTATATACAGTCCTGAGAGCATATGATAAAAGATGAAAGTAAAATAAAAATCAGCTTGTCTAAGCGGGCCTCTTAATATATTTTTGCAAAAAGTCTCATCATCTCACAGCCTTCTAAATAATACAAGAAATGTCCCACTCCCAAGAATGTTAGATTTTTTAATGCCATCTACTTTTGTATATGCAGCTGTGTGCTCTGTATGTTCATACAAATGTCAGTGAGATAAAGTAAATATCCCCAAATAAATAAATAAACAGCTTAAATAATATTTTCTGTATTCCTTTTAACTGTACTAATTGGAATTAATAGGGAGTGTGTGCATGTAGGAGAAGGTCATCACAGGGACTGAGTTCTTTCAGTGTTACAATTTTTTTCCAAAGTACTGTAATTTTTGATAAACTGTTCTCCTGCTCCCAAGAATGTAGATAGAATTATTTTGGAATAAGTCTGTGTTATGCGCTTAGATTTAGCTTTGAATGATAAGGGTTTGGGTTGCCTTAACTAGAAGGGGTGGTGAGGGGAAACTTAACTTGGGGTGGTGAGGGGAAATTTAAGGGAATTGCTTTTTGTAAATGTTCATAGTGCTTCAGCATTCACAAGGGCAGCCTAAATCTTCTTGTGTCATTTGAAATTTGGCCTCCTATAGAGACAATTACTCAGTTTGGGTTCAAATCCTGGAACAAACAAAAAACAACTTTCTGTGTCACAGACAATGCAATACACAGATTAGAAAAAGCAGGTCAGTAGTTGTGGGGAAGTTAGAGGTAAAGAAATCCCCTATTTTTTCTTAGATTCTTGACTAAGAACTCTGGGTAAGTACACTAAAAAAAAAAGTGCTTTAAAAAACAGAAAGAACTACTGGTATCCGCCAGACGAATAAAAACTATATTTGGTGTACTTAAGGGGATTGTTCGTTTTGTTTTGTTTTTTAACATTTCATTTTCCTTTTTAGATTTCGGGGATTTGCTACAATAGTAGTATATTAAAAGTTCATCAAATTCTTTGTGTGCCCAGCTGGGTAGCAAAAATATTTTCTTGGACTCTTGAACCAATCTTCTCTTCTGCGGAACCAACAAATGAAATCCGAGTCGGAATGGGAGCAACAGTGGACATCCAGAGACAGCAGCGGATGGAATTATTGGATCGTCAAATCATGATGTCTCAGGTTGCACAGATGCGACGGCAAAGGCAACAGCAGGTATTGATGCATACTCTGGAAAGGTTATATTAAGTTGTGTGGAAAAAAAAATTGGTTCGTATAATTTGTTGCTCCTGTTTCTTAAAAGTACTTTTCTCAATTGACTTTTTGTAGACTGATGTGTGGCTAGTAACTGTTCAAATGTTTATTTAGCTTTGTTGGATAAAATTGCTTCACAAGATATGAGCAGATTGTCAAAAAAGTACTTGTAAGAACATCGGTACTTCTGTCATTCTTTCACCAAAATTGAGATTGAAAGGTACAGTGAATGCCTCCAAATAGTCTTTAGAAAGAGCCACTGCTGAAACTTAGGAAGTCATAACGCACCTGGTTGCTTTGCTTATTGATACAGTTAGCATCCTTTCCAGAAAGGTTGAAAATTGGCTGTATAGTTCATGTGCAGGTGTATTTTGAATGAATTTTCCTTGAGAAAGTACAGAAATTCAATTCTCTAACTTTCTTTTAGAGGTCAACCACAGGGGCTTTCTATTTGCCGCATTTAAAGTTCGTTGTTTTTTCCTTGTTGAGTGGAATAGTAGTGACTTTATATTTTCTCTGTTTTAGTTGAGCTGATTATTGAACATCTTCACATACTTGGTACTGAAGGTCAATAAAACAAAGCAGCTGGTATCTCAATTCAGTTTCCTCCTGTATCAGAAATGTACGTGTTGCTATGCCTCTGAAACCTGGGGGTTGACGTAGGCCCATGTACTGCCGTGTACTTCTGGAAAGGTTATCCATAATTTAATTAAAGCTTAACAGTTTGAGGTCTTTATTGAGTTTCCTCTGCCTGAAATATAGCTGTGTAGAAATATGTGCTCCCATGTAGTGCATGTGATAGCTCAGTGCAAGTAGGTAGAGCTATGTTGCCATAAATATATTAGCAGAATCAGAGGGATGGTGGCATAAAGCTTTAGCTCTCACTAGCAACTAGGATGTCAATAACGATTTCCTATCCAAACATAATTTTATTTTCCTTAATTTCTTACCCTGTAATATGGTGAAAATGTTCCCCACTTTGGAAGATTCTCATCTACTTTTCCGTGTTCCCATTGGAGCATTAATCAGTTTTCATGTTAAGCTTCTTCAGATAGGAGCAGGAGGCAATGGTCAGTTATGAAGGAAAGTCTTTATGATGTATTTTTAATTGACAGAAGTAGTAAATAACTTTAGAATGGTAAATGGATAAAACAAAAAGTAACATTTTCTTCTCATCTGCTGTTCTTGGGCTATGAATTGTGGAAGTGGAAAACTGTCATTTCATACCTGACTACAGACAGCGTTCTTAAAAAGGTTGAGGGATTTAAGTAAAATAAATCAATATTGTTTTTAAGTTACTGAAACTCTTTCAAATGGCATGTATGTTTGACCTGTATACCTTTTATTGCTAAGCTGTGAAACAAATGATCAATGGAAGGCAACAGAATTGATGTATGAATGTTCAGAAAGGCTCTACAGAAAAGAAGAATCACAAAAGCTTTTGACAAGCCTTTATGACACGCAGAATTTACTGGATATCAGCCGAATCAAAACAAGCATAATTTAGAAATGTTGAGATATACAAGCAAACGTGAAAGGCAGACTAAGTTCAAAATTTCCTGAAATTGGAAAAAAACTTTTCCAGGTTGCTCTACTTGGGCGATTCCTATGCCTTTCGAGGCTTGCAAAGGTGTAATGTGACGGTAAGGAAGCTGAACAGATCATGCTACAGTTGATGATAATTTTATCAGGGTAGATGATAATTTGTTAGGAGCTAAAATGAGTTTAAAATGAGTATAATTTGTTAGGAGCAAATCTGTTAGGAGCTAAAAAGAGTGCAGCTCATTTTCCTAGAGAGTTTTGTGAAACTGAAAATGACTAGGGCTGACAGGCATGTATCAATTATCAAATATGAGCTTAGAATTATATTCTAGGAGAATTTTATGCAGATTTATGATGACCCAGTATGTATCTGTAGGTAATACGATATACAGGTGAGATGAACTGACACTTTCTCTCCTAGTTTCTACGTTGGTTGGGGAAGGAAGTGAACTGTGTGTGTTGTATCTTGTGTCCATAGGGAAACTATTTTGCTTGGTGGTCCCATGGGAAGGGGCTCTGCTCCTTCCTGCTGTTGGAGAAAAGGGACAGTTTGGTTTCCCTGCATATAAGTAACAGGAGGACACAAGAACAGAAAATTAGGTTTTAGTGGTGCCCCAGTGTCCCAGCCGTAGCATGTGGTAAACTCTATTCTGGCCATGAATAGGCCATTTTTTTAATTAGACACTTTCTGTAGTAGAATTATTCCTTGAGTCTTTACAAGAAATTCTGAAAAATGTGACTCTTACAAGTTAGGCAAGTCAGCATGAAAATAGAAAAACTTTAATAAAAAAAAGTTGTTATTATTATTATTATTTTAAAAAAGAAAGACTGGGAAGAAGGTTTCTCAGGAGCTGTTTTTACTGTTCCCCAAAGCTATGGGGTTGTAAATAATTTTAGCTTTTTTGTACTCATCACTGTCCTCTTTCATCCAAGGCAATATTTACTTTGGATATTTCTGTAGGAAAAAAATATATATGTACAATGGCGGCTCTTAGCACTTTCCCAGGCTTTCTCTAGCTGAAACATTTCAAATTAGAGGAGTCTTTTAAGCTCAGGGCAGTGCATATAACTGCTAGGCTGTCAGACACTTGTGATTCGAGAAGTGGACTGAATAAGCGATAGAATTTGAACATAAATCGCTGTCTTCATTACTTGATGTATGCACCTTGTTTTGACCTACCCCTTAAAATAGTTAGTGATACTGTGTCTCTGTGTCTGGATGTGTTGTTAGAAACTGAAAAGTTATCTTAGGTGACTGGTTTCTCAGGGGAGTGTGGTTATATGATGACTGATTTTTGTCTTGGTTTCTAGTTGCTAGGGATACAATGATGAACTAGTCACAAATGGAGATAATTGACTATCTCCTCATATATTCATTTCCTGAAAAAAATGCCAGTTTGCTATTTTATTACAGCTTTTTTGTTATTTTCTATTTTTAAAATATTTTTTCCCATTTTGTCTATTTTCCCAGTTCAAAAAATTATCCTCTTCTTCCTTCCTGTCACTCCTGTATTGGCATTCCCCAGTACATCCTTTTCCCCCCTTATCCACATCTCTTTCACTTCGTTGCTTTCGATATGTTGTGTTCCCTCCTGGGCAACATCCTTTGCCTGGGAGGACATTTTCTCCCATCATGTCTTGCCTGCCTGTGATCATCTACTGAGGCATCCAGAGGTTCGTAGAATTTTAGGAGCAGATGCACCTTGCTTTCCTCTCCTTCAGGACAGGATGTAGGTGAGGTCTTCAGATACTGTTTTTACATACTGCAGTGTACCTGCATATTTTGGACTTCCTCTCCTGACTTTTCTGTGTCTTTAATCTCTTTCATATCCCAGCATTTTTCTGAAGTTTGTCTTTCTGCAACACAGATGAAAGCAGGGGCGCGAAAAGGGAAGAAACTGCAGCATCTGTGCCCCGAGGTGCAAGCAGGGAGCCAGCCTGACTTTCACTTCCCACTGAGAAGCGTGGAGGGTGGCGGGCAGATAGCCACGCTGGAATAGGTATGAGGGAGGCTTTTGCACCTAGCTGGTGTTGGTGACGCTGTTGTCACTACCGAGAGGCATACAGGGTATGGCAGGGTGGTGGAAAGTTGCAGACAAGGTGGTCAGTGCCTTCTGTTGGCAAGAAAGAGGGCAGGAACCTCAGCTGCTTCAGCTTGAAAATTGCTTTTTGAACCCACATGGCATTTACTCTTTCAGTTGTGCTGGGCACATGAAAGACAATGTATTTTACCTGCTTTTTGGTCTTTCTTTTCGGCCCTCAGGAAAGAGTTTCATCAGGTCGTTGGAGGCTCTGTGATGAGCCTGTGGCTATATAACAGGATCTTCATTCCATTACCTCTTGTCTGTCCTTCCCCCCACTTCTAAGCTATTTTTGTCTTTTTCGTCATGTCTTTTTGTTTTTCTGTTCCAACAGACATAACTTTTCAGTGAAGCCAGAGACTCCTTTGATTCGTGTCACAGGGCCTCTCTAGCTGAGATCCATCTGCTTGCAAAGACCAGACTTTTTCTGTAACAAAGTCATTTCCCCTAATTGTTTCTTTGCAAGATGTCTCTCTCTTGGGACACTGGAGAGATGCTCTGTGGGTAGGTAGGTTGAGTGTCTTTATCGTTATGTGGAGTTTCATATCCTGAGAAATGTGCCACTCATTTTCTGAGTTAAGGACTGTGAGGTTAGATTGCTAATGTACCCCCTGGTTATATCTAAGGGGGGAACTTCTGACCTTAGAGAAGAGGATTTTGATGGAGCAAATTCTTGCCACCTTCCTGTGGCAAGAATTCCTTTTCAAGAATATTATCCATATTCACAATGCTAGGAAAAATAATCCTCAGGGAATAGACTTCCAGAGAGTCCATCTCTGCATTCTCAGAGAACTACAGGAACTCGTTCCCATCGTATCCTTCAGCTTTCCCGTTGCCACTGAATGATGGCGCTTGGGCTCTCAGGTGTTTGAGTGCCAAGTGCTTCAGAGATGTTTCTAACCTTTAGGCCAAAATGTATGGACAGCCTGTTCATATCCTTGCAGAGACGTATGGATCTCACCAGTAAACAGTGTGCCAGGCTGCTTTATAGGAATAAAGGGGTGAGATTTTTCAGCCACGTGTTATGCCATCTTGTTCTCTAAGTGGGTTTTCATTCCAACCGCTGTATGTTACCTAAGGCTACCTGGGGTTTTTCAGACCTCAGTGAGCCTTTAATTCATTCTTTGCTTTTTGACAGTGTCATTACATTTTTGAATCTTGATTATTCTCTGTGATTTTTAACTTTTTTTTCTCTTCCTATAAAAACAAACCTGTTTTATGTCAAATGTGGGGCTTTACTAGTTAGAGGTTGTTGAGTATGACGAAGCATTAAGAAACAAATGAAGAGTTCACCACACGTGTCAAGCTCAACAGTTTCTTGATGCTTTGTTTCAAATA